GCCAGTGGGCACAAATATGGTGCTGGTCCCTGGCACACTGGGGGGGGGGGGAAATTGCTGGTCGCTCATTTCAGATAGCTTGGGTACACTGCTTTAAATCTCTTTTTAAAAGCAACGTTTTGGAAGGACCTTCCACTCTATCCAGTCCTCATGTCTTAGTGGAACCTTCCCCAGCCTGGTGTCCTATGATGGCTTGGAGTTATGGGAAGTGTAGTTGAATGGTTGGGGGGAAAGGTTACAGGACACACACTTCTCATCCCATCCTAGTGTATTTAGCATACATAGAAGTAAATGTGTGTGATGCACATTCTTCCCTGTTTACCCCTGCCTTCAATTCCTCCTTTCTCTCCTGTGCCAATTTGGATTTGTTCTCTTTATCCTGATGGTGATGTATAAATAATAACAAAAACAACAACAATATGCTATTCTGGTTGGAGCCACAGATAGAAACTGATGATGGCACTGAGGTCCCCAGGGGACACTGAGAAGGGCTGTTTAGCTGGCATGTTGCATTTCCCCTCCTGCCTCTGTGACTTCTCCTTTCCGGAAGAGAAGATGCTTTAGTCTAAAAAAGAAAAAGCCATGACAGAGAAGCCTGAAACCACTGCCTGGCTTGAGGGAGTTGAAGGAGGATAGAAATTGGGGGAGCAGAGCTGAATGATGAATCAGCAATGCTCCTGAGGATTAAATCGCCCTCTCTTAGCAGCAGCCCACAGGCAGTGCAAAAAGGGAAACTAAATGGGGTTCAGGGAGGACAAGAGAGACTACTGATGTCATCTGTAACTTTGGAAGGTCTTTACACATACACAAATACAGACATACAGAGTTGATGGATTGAGTTTCTTCCTCATTCTTCTTCAACTCAAAAGTTTTTCAGAGCAGCTTTCAAATCAATAAATAGGAGAAAGTTCCTGACATAAGAGTTACAGTCTAAGACGACATAACACAAAAGGAGAAATGGATGGGGAGAAAAAAGAAAAACTAGAATACTCAGGCACCAGTTCTTAATATTATATATATTTTAGAACAATCACCTTAATGTAGCCAGAAGTTGTTGGTCTTTTCATAATGACTGGCTGGCTAGGAAATTGCTGAAAAAGAGGAGGAACCAACTAGTCTCCCAGTTGGGTGAATGGTATGCTTGTGGTTCCTGTATCATTTTCCTTTGCAAGCCTGGTGGAATGGCTGTGAAATCATAGTTAGATCAGAAGTAAAGCCAGACAGAGCTGGCATCCCAGCAGAGCTGATGATGGCCTAGATTTTCTCTTCTGCCTCTGCTACAACCTGGATTTGTCCAAGTAAAGAATGTAAGATAACATTTCCTGTGCCTGGAATTTAAACCCAGCTCTCCAGCACTTCAGTCATAGTCTAGCACAGGGGTAGGCAACCTAAGGCCCGGGGGCCGGATGCGGCCCCCTGAGGCCTTTGGACCAGCCCCAGGCCGGTCCTGCTGCCACCACCACCGCCACTGCCCCCTGCCTCCACCAGCGGCCGCCATGATGATATTGATTATTGTTGTTATTACTTGTTCTTGGGGTTTTCTTGGCAAAATCTCCACAGGGGTTTTGCCATGGCTTTTCTGGGACAGAGAGTGTGCATGCATATTTTTTTATATATATATATATATATATATATATATATATATTTATTTATTTATTTTTGGTGCTTCGGCCCCCCAATTGTCTGAGGGACAGCAACCCGGCCCCTGGCTCAAAAAGGTTGCCTACCCCTGGTCTAGCACTCATACCACTACCCCATGCTGAGTCTCAAAGCTTGTCTATAGTCCTATTAAAAGCATGCAAATATCCATCTAGCAAGCCTACTTTTATGGTTGTTGGGAACAATTAAAGATGTTGGTTTCCATCTTTAAATCCTGATACAGCTAGAGATGGATTAGTTTCCCTGCTTCACACATACTTTAAAACTGTACTCTGATCTTCCAGGGTCATGGGAGTAGTTATGAGAAACAGAGCCTTCTTAGTGGTTGCCTCCTAATTGCCAAGCTTGCAATTTCCTGGTTTTTGGAAGCTGATGAACTGACTGCCATATTTTAGATCATCTATGGATGATCAGAACATACTTCAGAAGCAGTGTTGCATAGCACAAATCTAGAAGCTAGTCAAGAAGCAAATAATGATGGCAGAACCCATCGGTCCCCTGAGAAGCTCTGATTAGTGTCAGTAAGGATGTAGGCCTTGGAATTTGACCACCATGTGCTTCAAAATGCTTTGCTTTCCATTACTTGATAGTCTGCCGAGGGCTTGGAACATTGTTCATAATGGCTGTCTCTTTTTGTCTCTGAAGTCTCCAATCTCAGATGCAGCAGCTGGATAATCCAGAGCTTCAGTTAAGACGCCAGCAGCCAGAAGAGTCTGTGGAAGCTATGAAGGAGTTGAAGCAGTCATCACCGGATGGCACTGGGGAGGTATAAACTGATCAGGATTTCTGAGCAAGTGTAGAATTGACTATCTGAAACTCCTAGGCAGGGGAAACAACAAAAATCTTTTTTCCTTTTAAAGTTTTAAAAAAACACCCACTAATTTCTTCTAGAACCAGAGTCTCTGGGTGTGAAACTTGCTCCTTCAGTTCCCCCAGGCTCTCCTAATGTGCATAGTCTTGCTTCCCAGCATTTGCTAAAAGTTTGAAACTATTTGGAAATCTGGATCTTAGATCATGCCATTGTCTCCATCAAGGCAGATACCACTAAAGCGTGTATCCACATTGCAGAAATAAAGCAGTTTGATACCACGGCTACATCCCGTGGAATCCTGAGATTTATAGTTTGGTGAGTTACCAGAGCTCTCTGACAGACCAGGCTGAATTCCTCACCAAACTACAAACCCAGGATTTCATAGGGTGGAACCATGACATTTACTGTGGTGTCAAACTGCTTTAACTTTAACTTTATGAGTCTGTTGACTTTTTTGGATATGATTCAAAAGGTTTGCACATGCTTTGGCCACTAGTGTTGGTAGGTAGATGAGATCAGAGCTACTTATTTCTAACTCACTATAAATGATGAAACGTTGGTTCAAAACTGCACACTGTGGCCCTGATCCGGCAAGGAAAGGGGCAGCCAGAGGCTGCTTTATTGGGACTGTCTGTTGAGCCCCTTAGTTGATTTGCCAATCTTTATCTATATATTTTATTGTTTTCTGATAGTTTTGCTAGAATCATAGTCATAGGGATATATCTTTACTATACAGGGAGAAGACTTTACCAGGTAAGAGACCGGATATCATTATATGTATGGAGGATTTTTTTTTCTATATCAATCTGTATAAATCATGGGTAGGCAACCTTTCCCCTTTAAGGGCCGAGGGACTTCAGCTCCCAGAATCCCAGGAGCTATTGGCCAACATGGGACTATTGGCCAACATGGCTGAGAAGTCCCTCGGCCCTTAAAGGGGAAAGGTTGCCTACCCCTGGTATAAATCATAATTTGAGCCCCCCCCCCCCCCGGCCCACTAAAAATACTGGCCAACTTGATCAGCTTGTATGGAGCCATTGCTTGGTTAGCTCTGACTAGTTAGCATTGCCTCTATATCATCAGGCAGGGAATAGGCAAGAATATTTGGTCTGCTTTTAAAAAAAAAATTAAAAATAAGCTTTTTAATTCAAACTCACCCATGTGGATGTTTCTTCCATAGCATTCCTAGCACATTTGTGTTCATATTTTTTCTTACTTATGATAGATTACCAACATATTTGAAAAAATTTAGGATCTAGATCTTGGATCATTCCTGCTGTGGTTTAGCATCTAAAAAGACTCTTGGGGTGCATCTATACTGTAGAAATAATGCAGCTTGACACCACTTTAACTGCCATGGCTCCATCCTACAAAATCCTGGGATTTATAGTTTTGTGAGGCACCAGCATTCTGGCAGAAAAGGCCAAGGCCTTGTAAAACTACAAACCCCAGGATTCCATAGGATGGAGCTACAGCACTTAAAGTGGTGTCCAACTGCATTATTTCTACAATGTAGGTGAACCCTTGGTTTAGCATTTGATAGGTTCAAAGGAAGGCAAAAGTTCAGGACTGTAGGTGCAGCAGTTATTCTGGATGTATTTATATTAAGAAGCTTCTTTAGATTTTTCAGTATCTATATTGGATATCCTGATTATCTTACTGGTAAAATAACACCAATGCAAGATGGATTTTGTTTTTAAATATAATTTTGGTATCTTCCAATTTGATACAAACAATATGCACAGCTGATTATCTCAGCTCACTGGAGTATGCAAAGCAGACACAAGTCTTCTCATGCTTTTTAATGGCTTCAGCCATAAAGAAAGCCAATCTCACTCAACTAAGGAGGTGTTACTTTGAGTAAACCTGCTTAAGATCCAGCCTGAAAAGGTCCCTTACTACATTAATTTAAAAACAGTCTTACTAGGTGCCTGTGAGACAAAAGCAGCTTAGGTAGAATTGACTGCTATTCCTTTGTCTCAGGCAAACTGCCACTCCCAAATGAGAAATCCAGGCGGCTAGTGAGTCAGTCCGCACTTGGCTCCCCTCCCTGATTCTATCAATTCTGTTGTGATAAAGGAGCCTCAGGAAAGCCAGAACTGGGAAAAGTTACTTTTTAAAATTACAACTTCTAGAATCTTCCAGACTGAATTCAGCAGAACTAAATGCTTAGGCAACTTGCTTAAGGATATGGCTTGTGGAACAATTTTTGTCAGACGACTTAGAAGTGAACCATGGCACATACATTACAAGGAAAAACAAAAACTCAGTGACCAAGCTGAGCTCCAACAAGGAGATAAGTTAGACTTCAAGAGAAAAGCTGTACTAGCATTCATAGCTACATATTTTTGTCCTTATACCTGTTTCTGATTTACTTTCCTGGCAATAACAACCAACAGTATCCCATGCCTCCTCCTACTCAGACCAATGACTTCAGTGTGACATTTCAGAAGAAAAGAAGAGGGCAACATAGGAGAGTTAAGTTTTGTGAGGGGAAAAAAACATTTCCCCTGCTTAAAGAAATTAGGGAGCTAGTGTGGCGTAGTGGTTTGAGCATTGGACTACGACTCTGGAGACCAGGGTTCAGTTCCCAGCTCAGCCATGAAACCCACTGGTTGACCTTGGGCAAGTCCCATGTTCTCAGCCTCAGAGGATGGCAATAGCAAACCACCTTTGAAGAAATCTTGCCAAGAAACCCCCTTGATAGTTTTGACTTTTGGGAACAACTTAAAGGCACACACACAACCAACAATAACAACAACAATAAGGAAATTAGGCAGTATAATATGGCCTGAAGGGGAAATGATGAGCCATCTATGATGGATGAGTGGAACAAAGTTGGATTTTTAAAAGAGCATAAAATGGACTGGGGAGGCTATATAGGTGAAGGTGAAAAGGAGGCAGGAATGTAGATTGGGCGAAGGGCATAGGCAGGCATTTGCTTCAAGTGTCAACAGAAAGATTAGCACCTCTGGAACAGAGTAGTTAACAAAGATCTGCCTGTCACAGGCTATGGGGTATATGGGTCAGGCTTGTCTGTTTGTACTATGAAATGAGCTGGTTCAGGGTGTAATGCAGGGGTGGAGAACCTTTGTTTTTGTTGAGGGCAAGCCACACACTGCTGGGCAGGTGTGACTGGGTCAGACTGAAATGTGAGCAAGACCATCCCTTTTCTTCAAAGTCTCCTGCCTGCACCTTTTCCCACCCTCCCCATCCAGCAGGCTGGCAGGCAAGTGACAAGTTATTCTTGTCAGGGATTCGAAACTGTGACTTGCTGAAGCTTTTTGAAATTAGGCCAAGGTCCAAAGGTTGTTGCTCCTAGTGCAGTGGATTGTAGCTTGGGTTTAGTTGCAGGGAAGCCTGGATTCATATCCTCATTAGTCATGATGCCTGCAGGTAACCAGGAGGCTAGACCCTCTCAGAGCAAGGATAGGAGTAATGTTTAAATAGAATCAACAACAGGTTGTGGTATGAACTTGGTTTCAGAAATGAAAAATTCAGTCTGGATCTAATGACAAATAACTATCCAGCCAAAAGAATAAAAACTCTAGGAAATGTTCATGATATTCACTGCTGCCTCCCCCCATTTCTTATGCAAAAGCCATACACCATAAATAATTATTACATTGTTATGTTCCTTCAAGTTGTTTCCAACTTATGGCAACCAAAGGCATACCTATCACAGGGTTTTCTTTGTGATGTTTGTTCAGAAGTTCAGAAAGTCTGCCTTTCTCTGAGGCTGAGAGTGTGTGATTTGCCCAATGTCACCCAGTGGGTTTTCATAGCTGAACAGGGATTTGAATCCTGGCCTCCAGAGTCATAGTCCAATACTCAAACTGCTACATGACACATACTTATATTAATTATTGTATGAATGTATCACTTAGTTATGGTATCAAAATGATTGTACTTAATCCAGATATCATTAATGGAAATAAAAAAAGACCCACTAAAATCTACATTGCTTCGTCAATAGAAGGCAATAATATAAATAGTACATATGAAGACATTCCCAAAATATGTGCAAACTTTATTTGTTTAGGTCAGAGGTTGGCAGCATTGATGAATTCAGTGGCCAGTTTCCCTCCTCCCTCAAATCTCCTATAGCTGCACTCCCTCCAGTCACTGTGCTGATTAGATTTGGTGACTAAGGGCCTTTGCAGACTGCCAGAAATAGTGCACATTAAATTGAGACACTACCCTGGCTCAGTGCTAGGGAATCATGGGAATTGTATTTTTTTTTCTGAGACATTGAGCCTTCTCTGTCAGAGAGCTCTGGTGCCACAATAAACTACAATTCCCATGATTCCCTAGCACTGAGCCAGGGCAGTGTCTCAATTTAATGTGCACTATTTCTGGCAGTCTGCTTAGGCCCTAACTCTACTACTAGATTTCAGTAGCAAAGCAGGAAAACCAAGCAGGACATTCTCATTTTAAAGTGGTTGTGCTTTGCTGCTATATTTATGTAGCAGGACGTGGGGCCACAAAAAAGACCTTGGAGGCCTTATGTGACCCACAGGCCACATGTTTTTCATCACTGATACTGATTATATAAATAAAAGTAGAATTCACCTTCATTGCACACATCATATACACAGAATAAAGAAATGATATGATTAAGTGAGCTGTCAGTCTTGCCCTTTCATGTGTATTTTAGGAGGACCCTTTTGCTTGTTAAACTGATTACTGTTGTTATTTTAACAAAGTACACTTAACATAGGGGGGAAGCAGACAGGCGGCATGGGACCGCCCCAGGAAGCTGCGCCGCAGGGCCGAGGTATCCGCACACCTCGG